ATTTTCTAAAAAATCAGTTATTAATTTTGCGAGCCAATTGGTGAGAACTAGCATTCTCGACAATGCAAAGATTAGCAGGTGAGCCTCCCGTTAGTGATCTTTTGTGTTCCAAAATGTTCTTTGGTTATTGCAACGTCCCATCTGTCCAACATAGAAGCAGCCACCGCTGAAAGGGACTTTATAAACTACACTTGTATGGAAATCACTTATTCTTATGGCGAGCTTAGCGAAACAAATATTGGTCCGCTTCTTGTCTTTTAATCGCTCATTGTTCGTTTCAGTTGATTCTCCACACTGCATAACAAATCTTACCTAGCTTATTGGCAGCCATAAAACAACATTATTGCCACATCTACTTCCTACTTTCTTTAGACTGCGAGATGTGCAATGAATGTACGGTATACTTACGATACGTTTATTCCTATCACTTTCTGCAACCATGCTCGGACTTCACATAATGAACTCCTTTAAACGTTCAGCAACAGTGGCTATTGCTTCAAGAATACAACCTGCATACTAAAGATGAGTAACCTGTGCCCGAAAGCTATCCCTTCTTTTGTGCTCCCACGACTTCATCAGGGCCAACATTAAGGCAAGACATGGCTATATCATTTTTTACAACCTTCGAGTTCTTCGACGAGAAATTTAACTGCAGTTTCAGAGATCTTGGAGAATACTGCCGGCCAACTTGGTTCTTCTGAAACGTGAAGGAAATTTCTACAAATTGTATTTCACTATTCTGGGGCAATTCTCCCATAAAGTTCAGCCCTCCACCATTTATTTTATATTTCTCACTAACAGAAGCTAGTACATTTTAGAAGTCCTCACCACAACACAGGAAATTGTTTTACCTGTAATAACGAGATTAGAACTATTGCAAGAATTTATAGTCATGAAATAACATACTATTGATACAAAAAGTAATCAAAATGAAATATAATGACCAAGGACCAGTAAACAAAATGAGACCCCCTGGCCCCCTTTTTTCACATCTCTCAAATACACTTACTTAATCGTACTAACAGCCATGGCAATCACATTACAAATAGAACAGTGCTGCCCCCTGAAAGACGGTCACTTTTCAAAAATAATTGCTGGGCCTTTCTCCCCTCCTATCCAACCTCATACGCGAAGTGACACCACCATGCCCATGGGCAACATTATATTGCCCCGAAATAATTAGGCAGAAACAGCACGTACCGATGAGGAAGGAACAAGGAAACAGACAGCACCAGTATCTGTGTTTCCTTGTTCCGTTCTCATCAGTAAACACTGTTTTCATCTCGATATGAACAACCATCTAGCTTGAAATGTGTTATCCCGAAATACCACCACTACTAATTGACCTTACGGCGAAGCTGATTTGGCCGTGGATTTACCAGGCTTCTTCACCCCACTGTAAGGTTAACTACAGTGCTGCTCCGACACAAGCATGACATGGAGGAAGCCTTGCTCAGTCGAGTGATCATCACACAACTGCAGACATCGTGTTACTTCGCTAAAGTGGGCATATTTAACACCAGTCGGCTATTCCTACTTTTATCAGCTGCCAAGAAGGATAGGGAGGTCCAGCAAAAAACCAATACCAACCAAAGCAAGCTGTTCTATACCCTGTAACTTAATTACAGGACTTGTTTGAAAAGTTGTTGAGGCAGCATGTTCCCATTGAACAAATGCACAGTTATGTTTTGATGGCGTGGTTTACTGTCTTTGAATGGCAAAATTCAGTTACTTTGCCACAAGCTTCGCAATGCAGGAAGTAGTACTTTGCATACATGCAGCACTGTCACTGTCATTAGATTCCACTCAGTGGTTAGGATGCGACAAATCAACCAAACTCGAGGTGTGCGTTCCCATCACTTTGACAAGCCTACAGGCTTTTCCTGAAGACTTTCTACAGCGGCAAGGAATTATTCACAACTTACATGTGAAGCGTTGGCCCCGACATTTCAGATTTCTAAGTTTTTGGACCTACCCACTGGAAAGAACGTACACTAAGGTCACAGACAACAAGCTGCTGGTGGGTCTACTTCACAAATATCCCATGCCCATCATGATGGCAGCAAGAATTCAGTGCTTGTCATTGCTACTGGAGCATACCAGTAGAAAATGGACCACAAAGGACACATTAGAGGAGCTACCCGAATGTGTGCACTTGCTGCGTCAGCTGAATGATATGCACCTTTTGTCGCAAGTACTTCGTGAATTGAGTAAAAAGGACCTGGTGCTTACAAAGGTAAAGTCATGTGTACTTCGTGGGTGGCCAAAATAGTGCGAAGTACACAATTTGCAGTTGCAACTACACTTGGCACAATAGACGAAGCTAAGCGTTTATGATGGCCTCCTCTGCTGGGGTTCAACAGCTGTAATTTGCAAAGATACTTGCGGAGACATGATGCAACTCCTCCACGAGATGAATTACAATACATCCGTAATGAACGCATTGGCTAATACCTTCCTACTGTGGCCTGGTACTGACAGAACTAGTGAATGAGTAGAAATTGACCAATAAGTGTGCAAGCCAGAGCATTTCCACCAAAAAAAATACCAGCAAGCTAGCCTCCAATGCAAGGGAATTGCTAATGTATGCATTCCGATTATGTGGGCCCACTGAACAGAATGGTCCTCCTAATGGCCATAGCTTCACATTCAAAATGTATCAATGCAATTCTAGGGCCATGTGCCACAGCGTACAATTGCCTGTTAGTTCTCATTAACAGTGTATAAAAATGAAAAACAGCCCTTAAATTTCCACTTCTTCGTAAACAGTACTGAGTTACATAGAGAATTTTTTAATAGTGATGTTTAACAAGAGAACAAACTGCCCTTGCTTCAGTACATTTGGATACACAGCTGAATAGATCCAACAATGGCAAGAATGAGATTATTAATAGAAAAAGATCAAGCACTGAGACTAGAGTTGAGATGGAATGACTGCTTTCCCTCTGCAAAACACAAGCTTTTCTTCAATACACATACAGCACAATTCAAGCGACAGAAACCATAAAAAAAAGTGTGGGTAACCGTACCCCTTGTAAGGCAGCTCACACTTTTGTCATGTATAAATGCCCAGTCCAGGCAAAGAATTGCTATTCAAAAGCGGTGCACTTTCCTACAGTCACTGCACATAGTCCACCAAGACATTTCAAAACGCAAACCTCCCGCAGCTTAATCTCATAACCAAAACTGAATTTTCTAAAAAATCAGTTATTAATTTTGCGAGCCAATTCTGTAATACCAACACTTCACAATTCTCTCTTACTCATGTTATGTAATAATTTTGATGTATACCAGACATTTGGTGCATTACTTGAAACCTCCAGGATAGTACGCATTCAGTCAAACATTCAAATAGTGCTTTAAACTGAGCCTTCAGCATTAGCTTTTTTGCATGCTTAGTTTACTCAGGTACTGATCACTCCAACATAAATGACAACTCTTTCTGAAATGTAATATCAGTTCCCCTAAATTCTCAATTTTTCTGTCCATCTACTATGAAAACCACTGAGTGCACATTCCAGCATCTGAGTACATCACATTTCAAATCTGCACTGTTCTGCTGCACCTTATAGGCAATGTGCTGTTTATTCCAGCCAATTCCTAGATTATGCTGGCCTTACATTTTGTAACAAAACTGATGTGACAGCGAAAATGCCAGTGTTGCCTCTATTATAGCCCCACAAGACATGAGTGCCATAAGCAGATCACTAAAATGTGACGATGCTATACAGCAAATAACCATCAAGCTAGCATACAGCAGAAAGCACAAATACTACACATACTTCGATACATGACAGCTCATACTGCATTCAAAGTGCGTAACAGGATACTGAAGATAAACAGCGCAAAAAAGCATGGGCAGGAAAAGCAATACACCAGAGGAGCGCAGACTTCCAAATATATTATAGCTCATTCTGCATTCAAAGTGCGTAACAGGATACTGAAGATAAACAGCGCAAAAAAGCATGGGCAGGAAAAGCAATACACCGGAGGAGCGCAGACTTCCAAATAAATTTATATTGATATATGTAACAGTTACAAAAAAAAAAAGGAAGAACAGGACAAAGATGTGCCAACACAAACACAATGTTCCTGCTTCGCACTTTCAAGAAACAGGGCTCCCTGTATGCAACTGCTGGTTTGCTTAAAGGGCCCCTAAATACCTCCAATATGTTTTATAACATTTCAAGTAATCACGCGCGTCGCGTTAAGGATGCTATCCCGATCAACTGTTCTACATGTGGCAGCACTACGAGCCGTGGACCCACCACAAATTCCAAGAAATTATTCTTCCTCTTTTCCGGGCCGCCACGTGATGCGTCGTACAAATATCTCCGATACGCCGTACGAATATCTCTGACGCCCCGTTCACATATGCTGTGATTGATCGAGCAAGAGCCTACGATTTACAGTTAGTCTGCAAGCAGCTGTACGCGCTGCTTGTTGTTCATCGTGTTGCCCGCGAACATGCGTATGGGTCCATCGTGTTGGCACTCTTCGAAGACCTGCGCACAACGCAGGGTGCATACCTGCACGATTTGTATAAGCACAGGCCACCACGATAACAGCGGTTCGCCAACAAGCACGCACTTGACGGAGTCCCGGCAATCTGAAGAGACTGTGTTAGAAGCAGCGCGACAGTGATGACGTACGCCACACGAGATTGGATGGGGCATCGGCGAAAGGGTAAAGTGGCTTTGGGACAGGATACCATGGAGGGTAAGGCAGGAGAGAGCGAATGGAGTGATCGTCGCGGTTTCGATAAATAAACGCTTTGAATTCCACTATTACGGCACTTTTCCGTGTTCGTCATACGATCATGTACAATTTCCCTATCACAACTGAATTTCGACCTCTGGGCCCTTTAAGCACCTGTTCTTCACTGATCATGCGCTGTCTATCTTCAGTAGGAATAACCAAGTCACCCAGTCATAACAGGACATTCAATGATACCATACAGCAGAAGATGGTCCACACACCAACCATACAACAGTAGTTACCGAGTTATTGGAGCTACTGGGCTTGGAGTACTCCTGGACAGCATACCCGCGTGGCAACACGGCGGCATCCGTCTGATCCTGCTGCACCTGGGTGATGGGCGAGGAGCCGCACTGCGAAGCCTGCTGCTGGCGCTTGATCACCTGTTGGACATGCAACACACATACCCCCTCCTACCTGGACAATTTCAAAGCTGCTACACATCACCAGAGTGAATGCACAGAGTTGTGATTCGTTGGGGAGTTTTCGAATAGCATACCTAAAGTTAGCGAGCATAGAGTCTGCGTATGGGTGCCATATGAGTTTTTTAATGGCGTTTATCCCACACAAACACTGATGCACGCTTCAGTCACAGCAAAGGGGCTTTGCGGGCTGCTCGCTATTTTGTATTTCTTGCGGGAAATCACAAACGCTAAAGGCGTTTAGCGTAACAACGCATGCGCCATGGCAGTGACCGCAAAGGATAGCTTATGCAAAGTGTTGCGTACACTATTCGAAAACTCCCTATTGTTACAAACACCATTCTTAAGGTAGTCCCTGAAGAGGACACTTGGGCAAACAAATGTAACAATGCAAACAATCTGTAACAACGCAAACAATCTGCATGCTTAGCTTCGTACAAATCAGGTGATTTTGCTTTTCATGAACATGATACAGTCATTCTTTCAAATATTTACTGCACAAGTGAATCCTCAGTGCCCCTGTCATGCAAGCATAAATCATGACTACCTGCACAAGATTCTCATGCGACAGTGCTATTATTGCTAGATTGAAAACTATCACATGCATGTCGATAAACTGCAAAAAGTTTAAGACAACATGCCAAATTTACTACTGTGTTGTGTGGCATAAAGAAGCCATAAAGGCGCTTCGAGATTTTTTTTCTCTCAACTGCGATTGTAGTATCTGCTTTCACCTCATAGGTTGCCCAGAAGCGTACGTGACGACGCACTTTGTATGAAAACATTTCAGCAAGCCACTACCGAAACATCAAAACTAATTGCCAATAGCAAGAATAAGAAAATACGGCTGCTGCCTCACTCTCCACGTGAGATGGGGCTGTAAGGAGGGTAAGTCTGTACCTTGCATTCCTTGAAATAAACACGGATCATAAACAACAAGAACGATCAGGGCTGCTACCATGTTGCCTGAAATCGTCACGCTCACTTCCAGGCGACAAGCAATCTTTTTTTCTAATGTCTCCTCAATGTGGCTGCACTTTCGAATGTAGTTCACGAAAGTGCCGTTCTAGTGCTGTGCAAGTTTCCCTAGCGTGTGCAGCACGACATTATACCTTGCGACAACTTTCTATGGCAGCACAGCCAAAGCTATGAGGGCGGAACTTCTGCACATGTGTTACTACACCAAGAAGTGCGTTAACGGGTGAATTCGGTTCCGGTTTTACAAGTGCATCCAATATGTACAGTGTTTCACACTTAGGGAAAATTTCGTAGCACATGGGACCACGATGCGGCCATGATGCGACCAGCGTGTCATTTGAGCACCTTTAGCAGCTCCCGTGTGCGCAGGCACTTGAGTGGCATAGTGTTAAACGTTTCAACTGCGTCGTTGGTTATGGCTGCACACACTGACCGCATTGTTGAGCAGTCGGTGAATTTCATCGTTTATGCAAAAACTGGGCAGATATCACTCATCGCATCACTGTACACCTCACTCCATACAAAATCAGCGCTGTCATCACTGCTGCTGGGGAAATAATGAGGTATTAGGAGAAGTTGGCAGCTTGCCATCAAGAATGCCATCAAGAAGAAGCACATTCAGGTCGTTATCTGGACGTGCAGGCTCCTGAACTCGTTCACTTTTGTTTTATTGTGTTGAAACTGCATAGCTGCACGACAGCCACTATAGAATTCCTTGTTTTTCTTTGGCGTGAAATATCATGCACTGTACATACTCATTATGGTGTTCCCCGTTGCAACATGCAGTGGTGCACACACAAAGACTAAATATATTTGAACGCATTCAGCACCACAGCTTTTCAGAAGAGCAAACAACGTATGCTGTCAAATACCGTTTCTAGAACCTCTTTATCGCCAATGAAGGCTGACGGGTTGGCATCGCACAATGTTTAGTATTTAATATGGGCCTAGTTCCCGCAGAAACGAGAAAATCAGCAGGCTGCCCAACACAATGTGGTTAGCGCGCACCGCTGTCGCTGACGGCACAGTTCAACACCACTCTCTTCAAGCGCCTGCGCATGCACGAGCTGCTACCGGCTTGCGACTGCAGCGCTGGCCGCATCAGGATGCCATGCACTCAGTGATTTCCTTTACTGTGAAACAGACTGCGCAGTTTTGAATGAGCATGTAAGGTTCATGGTGTTATTTCAGAACAGTGTTTTGAAAGATAGGTTATATATAGCTTTAATCGGAAGCTACGACAGACCCTCAGATACTCATGGATGCACCAGCGAAGGAAATATACATGGAATCATTGCTGCACTCTTCTGCCAATTCCCTTACAATGGTAATCAGCCAGCGGTTCAAGCTCGCGTGCAAGAGAAGCACCATACAGTAATGCTTGCACTTGTTTTTTTGGAAAACAATAAAATATTCTTAATTTGAGAAACCCAGGAAGCGGCTTTATGAAAGCCAATTCCCTTACAATGGTAATCAGCCAGCGGTTCAAGCTCACGTGCAAGAGAAGCACCATACAGTAATGCTTGCACTTGTTTTTTTGGAAAACAATAAAATATTCTTAATTTGAGAAACCCAGGAAGCCGCTTTATGAAAGCAGTAGGATTTATTGTTTGGTAAAAAAGGCACACGTTCGAGCAGAAACTGTGAAAAATGTAACGCAATGGCAAGGAGCCACGTCCTAAATTTCAGTGAATACAGGGTCGGTACAGTAGTTTTCCTTCTTTTGGAAACTTAAGAAGTTTCTCGAGACAGTTCCACATTGTGGACGCGAAGGCATCGACGGGTCGCAAATATCTTGGTCACAACTGGTCATGAACAGGTGTGAAGCGGGCATGTTACTTTCGTAAATACAAGCTGGTGAAACACACTACTTACTCGGTCAAGAACACTGTTTCTGCACAGTTAGCCACCTAACAGACATGAACGCACCTGTTGCCCAAGTGGAGCTTTGCATTGGTGATTTTACTATTCTCGAAAACTACTGTCGCCACAAAGCGCAAAGCGGCATGTACCGCTCGCACCGTAGATGCTGACTGACGGGTGGAGTGAAACAATACGCGTCACTGTATCGGCAATAGTCTGCACGCGAAATTTCGACTATGTACGGAATGCAATTTATGAAAAGAGTCATGGCATTTATGTAGTTTCAAATCGCAATTTCGCTTTAAAACAGCTATTTTCATTTGCTGAAGAATGACAGGTCGCCGCTGTCAGCTTAAAGGTGGCTATCGCTTTGAGACACCCATTTGAGCTAATAATATCACTCACACACCTATTTCTCGGTGAATCCACATGCGGGGAATGAAGTATTTGATGACGCACTACTGTCGGCTCAATGAATACAGGTCACTTAATTATAACCTAACAGACATGTAGTCAAGGTCACTCACAAGCTTCGAGTGAACTCGCTACAATCGAACGATGCCATAAAACTAGAAACCTCAAAAAACGAAAATACTGCACAGAATAAGCTTTCTTTGTAACAATGCGACCAATCTTGAGCCTAACAATATATATTTTGTTTACATGTTTTCCTTTAAGCTATGTAATATACAAATGTTAGCGTCTGCGGACTACATGCAGAGGTGTAGTAAAAAGGTGCGTGCTTGGGCTTCGTAGCTTTAGCATTGCTGCTACAGAAAGTTAGCAGTAAGATATAGCGGTTTCGGTGCAGCAGTCAAATCGCGTGTGTAAGTGCAGCATTCTTGCACTGGTGCAGCCAAATTGTGGAAACCTCTACTTTTTCAGAAACGCACAACAAGCAATGGATAGGCTTTCGTGACAGCAAATCTTGTCACTCCAAAATCGTGTACAGGTGGTTGGGCATTTAAATACACAACCAGGAATAGGTAAGAAAAATATTTTCCATCCTAATCACAAGAAATGGTCAGCAGCACATGAAAAATTCAACCAAAGACCTTTTCAGTGCAATGTCACAAAGATAGGAGAAGTGATGTATTTCAGAAATATACCAACGACACGCTTCCATGCATGCAGCAACCCTCTTACTATACACCAGGACAAAGTCACACGTCCACGATAAGCTTTCTTCTTCATTCTTTACGCTAAGAATGCCTTGTGTGGAATGCCTTGTCATCTTGGTTTAAGCTTTATCTCCCAATCTTTTCCATTTCATTGTGAAATTTCATGTGAAGAAAGCCTTCACTTTGTCAACCTTGTAGCTTTTGTTACTATTTTGTATTTAAGTACCAAAAATTACATGTACTTTCCTCAAAGCTCAAAACAGCATGACCAAAAAATCTGGCACACTTTTAAACAGTGTTTTAAACAGTGCTGATGTTGAGCCTCTTTGAGTGAAATTTGTAGAAACAGCCGAGGAAAATATTATGCGAGGCCGATAGACTTCGCGTGGTGCGTGCCGCAGTAATTCCGGTCATCACTTTTTATTTTTTGTTTGTGGGAGGCTGCGATCTCCCAGCCGCACCTGGTCGAGCAGCATCAATTCGTCGCTCGAGCTCGGCGGGCTGTCCAAGCCAGAGGGTTCCTGGAATGAGGGACCCTCTTACCTTCACTCACAAGCTTTTTTCAATAAATGTTTTTTCTCTCTTTCGCATATGTTTTGACAATTTTTTCACCTTGTATTTTACTTATGTTGTACGCCAATGTACAATGGAGTCCCTGAAAACGATGGAGACCGTTTAGGGGAATTAGTTGACCAATTTTTAAAAATCCTGACCCCCCCAACTCTAACAGATCAGCTATAACTTCAAAGTGAGCTAATATTGTTTTGCATCCATTTTCACAATTGTTTCAATGCAATACCGGAATACCCACGATCGCCATCACGATTTTAACCGCCTCCCTGACACGCTGATTGTGCACGCAGTGGTCGCGGACAAGTTTGTACAGTACCTTGGTAAGCTATCTCTGTTTGCAGGTGAGTGCTTGGCCGTAGCACTTGCCCGTAATGAAGTTACACCTGAAGACGCAAATATCACCCAAGTTTTTTCAAGTAGTTTTTG